CTTCTTCCATAGGAGTTATAGAAATAACATTAGGTCAAGGTCTCATCTAGCTGCTAGACAACCAAGCTATCCACGCATAAAGGTGGATTTTGCTCTAACTTCCGATATTTTGATTTCAATTCCTCCAGATCGACCGATCGATGTGGACTTAGGTCCTTATGAAGATGAAAACGCAACAGGGAAACTTGTTTATCATATACCAGATGAAGAAATTTCGTTGGCTCCTGCATGCTGGCTCTGGGACTATCTAAGGTTCGATACTTTATTTATAATTAAATATTTATTTATTATTTATTTATTTATTTATTTATTTACTATCGCCTTTTACAAAAAGGCGTTCTTGCCAAGGTGGATTTTTCTTACCCTTAAGTGGTGGTGTCGATTCTGCGTCATCAGCGTGCATGGTTTATTCCATGTGTGATATGATCGTGGATTCGGTTAACAAAGGAGGTAGGTGTTATTTTTGTATTATCATTAGAGGACGTACTTAATGAATGTCTCCAATTAGATGCACAGGTATTGTCAGACATCAGGAAAATAGTCGGAGACTGTGAATATGTACCGACTGATCCAAAACAGCTGTGCAACACCCTTCTTGTCACATGTTATATGGGTACTGAAAATTCATCGGCCGAAACAAAGGCGCGAGCAGCTGAACTCGCTAATCAGATTGGCTCTTATCATCACAGTATAGTAATCGATGTTGCTGTGTCTGCCATTCTAACGATTTTCCAACAAGTTACTAAGCTGACACCGAGATTTAAGGTGCAAGGAGGGTCTCCTAGAGAAAATTTAGCTCTGCAGAATATCCAGGTTGATTTCTGCTATTATATTTATCATCCTTGTGAGAGACAAATAAGTTTTTAATTATTTTAAATTTTTTAAGGCACGCTTGAGAATGGTGATAGCTTATCTGTTTGCCCAATTGATGCTCTGGGTCAGAGGAAGACCGGGTGGTCTTCTGGTATTAGGGAGCAGTAACGTTGATGAAGCGCTTCGTGGGTATTTTACCAAATATGATTGCAGCAGTGCCGATATCAATCCTATCGGTGGAATTGCAAAAAACGACTTAAAGTCATTCCTTTCTTACTTTAGGTCAATATTAAAACTGGTATCCTTCTAAGATAGTTATTTTGACACATATAAGATCAACCATTATGTTTATTTTAGGAGAAAACATGGAATAACTGCTTTAGATAAAATCTTAGACGCTCCTGCTACCGCAGAATTGGAACCTCTTCAAGGAGGACAGCTTGCGCAGCTTGATGAGATTGATATGGGTATGACGTACAAGGAGCTTGGTATTTTTGGACGTTTAAGAAAACAGGATTGTGCAGGTCCCTTCACAATGTTCTGCAGACTCGTCCACATGTGGGATAAATGTACCTCAAAAGAAGTAAATATAGTTATAATTAGCAGCAGCCATTGTTGCTACAGATATTTTTAAATTTGAATTCACTTATAGGTGGCAGATAAAGTGAAACACTTTTATAGATGTTATGCTATAAATCGTCATAAAATGACTATCTTGACACCATCTTGTCACGCCGAGACTTATAGTCCCGACGACAATAGATTCGATCATCGACCTTTCTTGTACAATCATACATGGAAATGGCAGTTTAACGCAATCGACGAACAGGTTGGTTATGTTAGATTATAAAGCATGTAGTTAAAATGAAACTTATAATAACCATTGAAATAAAACAATTGATCGTAGGTGAAAGGTCTTCTCAACGAGGAGAAATCACCAAGAGGTCGAAAGGACGTGCCGAAAGTACCTGCGAAGCCGAGATTCATGCCGTTCAGCTCCGTAATCAGTAGTGAGTAAATAAAAAAAAAAAAAAGACAAGTGTACGATATCGCTGATGAAGCTCGAGTCGTGGAGGGGACGAAAGCACCGTGAAATCGTTTCTACGTGATCGATTTCCTTGCTTGTTTATCGAGCTAAACAGCGTTAATCGACGAATAAACACCGATCTCGCAGAGTCGAAGTCGAGCAGGCCGCCGACAAACGACCATCCAGTAATTTTGACCCACCGTGCGCATACTCGTTCGTTGCATCTCTACCGAGGAATCATCACACACCGGCATCATTCTCTGTTGCAGATAAAACACATCCTGGAGTAGTAGTTTAACCGTAGCAGTATCTCTGTCTCTTATCATTTTGATATTGCAGCCTTGCGAGCGCATCGAAACGCAAGTTTGGTAGCTGACCATTTATGCGTCCGACCAGTTCCTTGTATCATCGGCACTGTTTCTTCCGTTAGAGATTCCTCCACGAAGAATCTTTGGCTACGCTTTGCTATAAAGAGATTGGTGAACGGAAGGATTGCATGAATCCTAGATTGTATTATATTAATGCAACTAATGAGCAGAAATACAAATATTAAAGATATGCAAATTCCACATATATACATATATTTATATAAATTGCGTGTAATTAGTTCTTAATACCTATGATCATTCTCTTCAGACGTTTCATATATAAGGTATTAAAAATAAACATAATTGCAGAAATAAATCGACACGTGTGCATATAATATTACTTTTATTATTTCTTCTATTTCTACATACACAGACAGCGCGTATTCACAATTCGTTAAATTTAGCATCAATGAATGACGACAGGGTTGAGAGCCTAGATCAATGTCTATATGTGATGTAAAACATCATAATGTATTATTAGTATTGCTTGACACTTTAAGATTTCAAATGCTCGAAGATCCGTCATACACAGTATATTGAACAGTGCGAAACACACTCATTTCTATCTTTCACGCATACGATAGTCATTTGACACTCATTCAAAAATTCGAACGTACATGGCGCACGTTATTAATAGCATGTGATAACGTTGATATATATATATTTTTCTAATTTATATATCTATCTATCTGCATATCTATATTTTGTATAGATATATAGGTATATAGATAATGCATATACAAATATATATTTATATATTTCTAAATTATTAATAAAGTCAATATATAATCAGAATTATTAATTGAGGAGAAATAGCGATATTAATAATAACATAACATTAAACAGTTGGAAAATATAATATTGCAATAATACTAGAAGAGGGAAAGGTGATAGAGTGTCCTGACGCGTCTTGAAAGGTCAAGATAAATAACTATTGGTGAATATTGGTGCAAATGATAGTGGGTATAAAATGGAGATTTGTATTAATAATGATAGTAGCAATATCTTAATGCTAGTTTTGAACAATACTGGATGTAAATTAAATAATCATAATAGAAATAATAATATTTATTAATACTTATATAATAATAATTATATAATAATATTATATTAAAATTAAAATACAATAATATTAGAAATAAAATAGTATTAGTTATAATTAATAGATTACCACGAGAAGTACTATAATTCCCGAGTATTGTCAAGATATAATATAGCGAAAATAGTATACATTATCGATACAAAAAAAAAAAAAAGGTACCAGATAATCAAAGGTTTAAGACTGTTTGCGTTTCGTGCAACCTAATTAATATTTGCTATATACAATAGTTGCGCTATTCGTCCGCACGATATACTATAAAATGATAAACAATGTTGAAAATACTCTAACAATTATCTGCATGTGAACATTATTTACACTTTGTGAATTTGCTGGAAACTTATCTGTATTCAGAGGAAAATATCACAACTTAAATGTACGTTTCGAAACGTGTTGTTCATTGTATTTATTTCAGCTCATATATTGTTGCTTTGCCTGAGTGAAAAGAAATGAATAAGTGATGTAATTGAACTGCAATATGTCCTAGTATGTATATATCCCAATATTCAAATAACATCTCAATAAAGCAACGATAAGATCTCGAGGATTTTAAACGGTTTTTAGATTTTAAAATCGATTTAGATTTCGAAAGATTGATTTGTTTAACGGCAAAATATGATAGATTAAGATTTATAAGAACATTATATCGATTGTGCAGTTTAGTCAGAATCCAATTGGTGTTTCTAAAAGTGTATCTACCCGTTTCGCGGAGTACAATTCGGCTTGCTACCAGCAGATCTTCCTATTTGCATAACCTGGATTTAAGCTTTCGCGAAATTATGTATAAGTGCCTCGATGATGACTCGGATTGTTACTTTATCGATAAATCGTATCGCGAACAGATTCGTACGCTGTTATACATGTATCGCCTAAGTAATCATATAACCTACCACCATAGAATTGCACGAAACCCCATTATGTTTGTCTGTATATGCACTGCCTTTTTGGCGTTTGTCAATATATTAATTTTACTAAGAAATTAAAAGTAATAAAACCTTTGACATATAAAAAAATTTGATATATAAAATGAATCATATCGAATTTAAAATAAAAAAGAATGTTAACGATTGAAATCAGAAAATAAATAGAAGAAGGGGATTTTCTGTATACGGAAAACACCGTGAAGAATTGTGTATATGTGTATCGTGTAATCTCACTTTACTATGACAGTGCTCGTCCCATAAAAGAACCAAGGTGCAATAATCGAAATCTTGTGCGCGGAGGAATGAGTAAAATTGTTATTATATCACAGATTTCCCAAAGCGCGTACCGATAGGCGTCTATTATTTAAAAGAAAAGAACAAACAAAAAATTTCTTTTTGCATTCCCCTTTTCTCCGAAATGCCTCAGTCGAAACGCAACGATTGGAAATAAGAACAATTACCTCAAGACACGATATGTTTACCAAAATATGTATCGTTATCTCGGTGTAACGAAAATTTGAGAAATACCTGACACAGGTCTCGTGCAAATGTCAGATACTTCTACGTAGTTGTTTACCCTCTAAGTCGGAAAGCAACGTAACTTGCCGTGTATTGCTAAAGGAAAAAAAAAACGTTCTAAAAAGGACCGCGTAATCCCATCTCGCGGTAAGGAAATCTTGTCGACGAGAAGAAATGGTCATCATTCCTGAAACGTTCGATCCGAGTCTTTGGGTATAATTTTTTTTTTCTTCGCAACTTTGACTTTCGTCTTTTTTTGTAACCTAAATATCATAGTCTACACATATACATATATTATATATCTACCTATACGTGGTTGATGAAACCTTATGCGTCAGTTATCGTGTACTCAATAAGGCAATACTGTGTATGCAAATATACTTTCTTTCTTTTTATTTTTTTTTATGCCTATGCTCTGGGATTCACGGGTCAGTACAAATCTCGTGGATAATTATGAGATTCACGTGATTCTCGCAATTAATCTGATCGTCATCGGCCCTCGACGCCGTCGTGTATCACCGCTTAAGGGGGCCATCTGCAGGTACTTTTCGCGCGACGTTTATTTCAAGATGCGTTTGATGGCCTTCCAGTTGAGTAGCTAAAAAATCGTAGTCAGCCTTCCTCTTCGTTCTTCTTTCCTCCGTTTCTTTTTCCTCTTGTTTGTCTTCTCGTTGTCTTTGTAGTCATCATCACAAGCTGGAAGCCCGACTCAGGTGCAACAATGTCGTGGCACGTTGAAGAGGTGCTTCGAGGCTTTTCGAGGCTGATTTTACGCAGCTGTCCGTATTCCGCGAGTCCCGTTGCAACAGGCCACCCTGAAGAGTTACATGACGAAGAACAATTTCGTGTTCTTGCTTCTGCTATTCTTTTTGTTCGAATAACGGATTTCTTTTTCCTCGTCTCTCTTCACGTACCCTACACATCATCTTTTTATATTTATCTATACATATATTTATATATAAACATATATCCTTTTGTTCTATCTCTTATGAATTTATTATCGTTTACTATTTCGATCAACTTTGTATTTCTTCCCACCCTCCCCTGCCTATCTATCTAACTTCGTAATTTTAAACGTTGTTTCTTTTTTTTTTGTCTACCAAGGAACGGAGAAACACACGGTACAAAATCAAACGATTACCGATCACGTTCTCGTTACCTCTTATGATTGTTTCTTTTTTTATTATTTATATTTATATTATTCTATTATTTATTTATATGACGGTATTATTGGAGTCTATCTGCGCACCTGGAGCAACATGTTGGCAAAATTGCTGTTGGTAAATTTGAAATGTCGCTTATCATAGAACTTCAACAAAGCTGGGCTGTATGGGTGTTTGTCTTTCAGATGTAGATAATGAACTTCCGGCTCCTGCGTCGTATGCCCACATTCTTCGCATACGTATACCTGAATGAAACGAACAGAAATAAAGGCATTAATTAATATCCATTTAATCTTACAATCTTATATCCAGAAATTGGTGTTATATCGCCGCTTTCTTATGTGTTTCTGGTTATTCTCTTTGATAAAAGCTCAAGTTATATAAATTGCAGAACTTTCAAAACTGTTGATTGTAATTACTTCTAGGAAAACTCTACATCTTTTCTTTTATATACCCGTTACGAAGAAAATAGAATTAATGAAGCAAAAAAAAAGAAAAAATATCAAATGAAGGAAAGGTCTATATTATCGTGCCTATGAATATGAATGTTATTTTGGGTTACAAGGTCTAGAAACAAAAGTGCTATAAGTAGATTATTACTGCTGCCTCTTGTAACTTTCAGCTACATTTACACACCAAGGTTAATTTTGTTGGTAATATCCTTTGCTGTAAATGTATCAAAGTGCTCCCTATCACTCTCAAGTGTAATTTAACACTGCTAGAGTAAGGATCTGAATCAGCATACACTATACCTATATTTATAAGTATAAATAAGTTATTTAAGTTATTTGTAAGTATAAAGTATATATAGTATTATAGTATTTATAAGTATAAAGTATATAAAGTATTATAGTATTTATAAGTATAAATACATTATTTATACTTATTTATAAATTAAATAACTTAAATAAGTTATTTATACTTATACTTATTTCGATATAATGTATTGATAGATTACACTTGTACAAGCTGTTTTACGAAGGGAAAGAGGCGATATGAACACTAATTTTTATTGCAAATTCAACCACGCGTTTCTCTATCAGATAACGTCAAGAGAAGCTATTGTTTTATAATTATGTCAAGTGATTTACTATTATACAAGACCGTCGTGACTTAAAAAAAGATAGAAAATATTGTTGTATGTTGATTGAATTTTGAACCTTACCTTTGTGCGACGTTCCTTGTATGCGTATTGATGTTGAACACCGTGAACCTTAAGGCAGTGACTTTCCAGAGAGCACCTCTGCGTGAAGCTCTTTTCGCAGAGATTACACTTGTACGGACGAACACCGGTGTGTGTCCTGGTGTGCCTCTTCAAATCGAACGTGTCATTGAAACCCTTGCCACAGAATGTGCATAAATAACGTTTTACGTCGCTGTGGCATTTCATGTGGCGATTCAACAGTCTTTGCAAGCTGAAATTCTTGGTGCACACGCGGCACGTGAAACGATTTGGATCGTCATCCTGAAAATCAACGAATTTTCTTCATTTATTAAAAATATTCTTCGTGTCATTCTTCATGTTGCGAAGTACATATCAACCGCATGAAATATGTAACAATGACAAAACTGGAACGGTAATCAGAAACTGGGATCTAGGTGTGTAAAGCACTAAATCTACTGCCTGAGGAATGCAAATCTTAATAAAATATGCGATATATGGTGAAGAAAAACATCAAAGAATGACGTTTACCTTGCCAGGCGGAGGTCGAGCTGCTCTCTCTTCCTCGCGAGTAGCCGCAGCCTGTCTCTGACCCTCGATCGCCAGAGGATTCTTAATTCCGTGGCCGCCGTTTACAAACTCCAATTGGCAGTCACCAGGAAGCCCAAGCTGTAACAAAATCACGATTAGCTTTATGTATTAACCCATCTAATCTATTATTTTGTAACTCAATCGGTAATGGATGAAGCACTCTATTTGATTGGCATTGCATAATTGTGCTATCGAGCAAACTTTGATGCGTTTGAATTGATCGAAGCCAAATATTCTACAAATAAGTATCGTTTGGAAGCCTTTAATCATTTATATGGCAGTGTTTAAGCATTTCGGAACATACAGGCATAGGTCTGTTCCTTGCTAGTTTTCATAGAATAGCGTCCTGCGTTTATTATAAAATCATATCTTTTCAAGCACATTTAATGTAACATTTAATGTAAATATATGTGGTCGACCCCAAGAAAGAGAAGAAAGAAGGAAGCAAGGAGGAAGAGAAGAAAGAAGGAAGCAAGGAGGAAGAAAAGAAAGAAGGGAGTAGCAAAAAGAAGAAGAAAGAAAGAAGCAAGAAAGCTGAAATATAAGAAGAGACAAAGGACAGTAAGGAGGGAAAGGAGAGGAAGAAAAGGCGGGCTTTCAGATCCACCAACAATGCCATACAGATACTCTTAGCCGTATTCGAGTTCGTAGACGAGAAGTATGCTTTTGCCTGGATCAATTTCGGGTGCTTACCCTTTGCTGTAGTACACCGACCCGTTGCGTCAGTGGTGGTTCTCCGACAGGGCCAGTTGGTTGTACGGTATTTACTGACGCAGAGGACACCGCAGCCGCCGGGCTTGGTGCGTGTTCCATCAGAGCACAGGATGGCGATGTGCTGGTCGAGGCGGCGTCCAAAGAACAGCTAGCAGCTCCTGGGCTTGGTAAGCTTCCACCAACGCTACTAGCAGAATCTAATTCCAAACCTAACATCAATAGTATTAAATGGTTAACTTTATCCTTAAATACATTACAGTAAAGCTATGGTTACAGTTGATGTAGGTTCTTTTACTATAGGATATTTGTACAAGCTGTTTTACGAAGGGAAAGAGGCGATATGAACACTAACCGCTACCGGTAAAACTTAATCCTGGACTCAACAGTCCTTGGTGTTGCTGCTGCTGCGGCGGCGGTTGTTGCTGCTGTTGCGGCGGCGGTTGCTGCTGCTGATGCTGTTGGTGCTGCTGGTGCTGGTGCTGGTGTTGGTGCTGTTGGTGTTGTTGCAACTGCACCTGTATCTGTAACTGTTGCAACTGCGGTTCTGAGTGGTGTTGAGGGTTCTGATTAATGTGAAGCGCGAGCTCTGGGCGTTCCTTGGCAATGGGCTGATAACTTGACTCTGCTGTAGCGTAGGTCAGCCCTAATTTCGAACTGAAATGTTGAGGAACTGCTGTGTAGCTGCTCCTGAACAGAGATGGTTGTTTGTTTGTATTATTTTACGACGGTCGACGAACAACTTTCGAGCGCATCTCATTTGGTTCCTCGGAATCCTTTTTAATAAAGCGAATTTTACAGCTTTCTCTTACGATTCAATGTCCAGTTCAAAGAGCAGTCTCGATTTCCAATGCAACAGAACACGTGACATTCACAAACGTTAGAGAGGCGTATCGCGTGCGAACATCGAAAGCAGCTCGATTCCGAGTAAAGGATTGTTCACGAGTACTTACCTCGACGTGTCGAAGCCTCTGGTTAAGGCCATGCTGTGCTCTGGGAAAGGATCGACGCTCGGTTCTACGGGAGTGGTCATTTGCCCGCCGTCCTGGCCGATTCCACTTCCAGCCGAAGCTGGCGAGTGCAAAGATTCTTCCAGAAGATCGTTGCTACCATCCTCAGCTGGTAGCCTCGGTAAAAATAAATCGGCGGCATCGCTCAGACTCTCAAGAAGAGCGGTATGATCCGAGGGTGAGTTGAAGGTCAAGGTAGCGGTGAACTGAAGAGGATCTACAACGGCGCCCGTCACCATGTCTACCATCATTCCTGTGTCGGTCATATCATAGGCGCCATAATGTCCCGATAGCAAATCGTTTGTTTGTATCTTGTATGCGGATAGATCTTCCTCCTCCTTCAGTGTCAAACCATAAGATGCGCACACATTCTGTAGAAGAGAATATTGCTTGCCCTCTTGAGCATTATATTGAGAATGCTGCGAGTTTATGTCTTGCTGTCCTGCGTCGCAGTCCATTCCTACCGCCGGTGATGGTGTCAAATACCCGTTTCCTGAGACAATCATTTTATTCATATATTAGTAATTGACATATGGTATAATATAGCATATTTATAGATTAGTAATACATTGCGAATATTTGTGTATTCATAATTTTATGAATACAACTAAAGAAATTATACCTAAGGGAAGATTTATATCATCTACTAGTTATTATACATAAGGAACGAATATTTCGTTTTGGATATTTTATATATTATACAGTTTTATATATTATTATACATTGTACAAAATATTACTAATTAATCAGTATGTAAATATATAATAAATACAATAGCACTTATCCAGATATCTTTTGTAGCCATTATTAGCTATCATACCTTGAGTACTGTTGTATTGATTTGCGAAATTTGCCAGATTATTTCCGCCCTTGAGGGACTCATAGAAGGGAGGTAAAGAGCCAGTGGGTGGCGAACTCGGCCCGTAATTTCCGCGACCGTTTCCACCAGGATTCATTCCACCTCCAGCGCCTCCGCCTACAGCTCCACCGCCTCCACTACCACCTGTGACTGCCCCGCCTCCGCAGTAGCTACCACTTCCGCCTGAATTCGAAGAAGAGGAGCTACCGGAGTTGCTAGACCCGTTGCTAGAACCGGAACTCCCGCTGCCACCGGAAGTTGAAGATCTTCCGTGACCTGCTGCTGCGTGAACTACCTGAGGACCAGATAATCTCATGGCTAGAAGAGGCCTGGCAATTGAATTACCAATCGCGCGCGATACTTTTGCACCTTCGCGACCTCGCTCCTCGTCCTCTTCCTTTCTCTTCGGCACGGCGTAATCGATTGGCTGTTCCTGCAAAAATAAGTCCTCTGTGTTAGCTGTCATGATGGATTTTTGCAGGTGGTTACACCAGAATTAATTAGTACATGTATGCGTGAGATAAATAGACGTGAGATGAATAACAAGCGAGTAATGATTTAAGGATGCACACAACCAACACCTTCTACATTGTTTTAGTTATTTTCGGTCGAGTTATGATATTTTTTTTGTATTTTTTTGTGAATATGGAAAGATCGTTATACATGTGCGGACTGCCATAACTTTCCTGGTACCACTGAAAGTTGACTATTTTTGAGATACAACATAGCTTATACTATTATACACATAACACCATGGAAATGAAATCGTTAAAATTGAGAAACCTTAAAATAAAGAGTAGAGAGGAGCATATTTGTTAACGCAGGTATAACAAGGTAGCATGGACAAAATTCAAGCGACTAGAAATCCAGACCCAGGAGAGTCCCAGTGAAACATGATGAAGATACCTGTTCCGGTTCGTGAACTTGTGGCACTTCAACCTTATCCTCCCTCCTAGACGTTGACTGACCTTGTGAAGGCACCCTCTGAATGACTGACACTCTAGTCGGTGGTTCGACTCTTGGCGTTTTTGGAGGAGTGTCAGGTCTGGGTAGCACCAGCTTCTCCGATTTCGAGAGAAATTGAGTAGCATCGCTAGAGGAGGGAACGATCGGTGGGCTGCTATATTCCTTACGTTCCGCCCTAGTCAGTACGTGTCCTCTGCTCCCGTATGGTACGTCTCCGCCGAGAATACTCGAGATGAATCGACGCGGCGGTGTATCGGTTGGAGTGCTCGATTGCCATTGTGGCGGCGGAGAAGAAGCTGGACTGCTGCTGCGTAACGATTCCGGAGTCGTTGCTCGATCATCGTCTGTTTTCTCGCGATCTGTATCGTTGAATTCAATATTCTTATGTTTACATAATATTCCCGTGCCAAGTGTTTTTGTTGTGACCATGTTATATTTGGATTATTGGATTATTCTGGGAATATTTAGATGCATCATCACGATTGGATGAATCAAAAAAGGCAAAAACAATTAAAAAGATAATAAGTTGATATGAAGCTTTAGCTCTAAAAGCCGATTTTTTTTTGTTTTAAACATTCTTAACAAATTCATTTGCAGTAGGTTGATCGTCGTTGGGTGAGAAGACTGTTCGATGATTAAAATTCGCAAATTTAGTTCGACTCAGACAAAATTTTAATGCTTGATGCGTCTGGAATAAGTAATGAGCATACGGTTATAATATGGGCTCTCGTCGTAGAGTCAGGATGGTTGAATTTACGAGCAACCTTGAGGGGGTTCGTAGGTACCGTATGCTATACTCTCTTTCCGTGCGTCCTTCACGCACCGCCTCGTAATTCGTCCTCGAGCAGCAACGTTGTTTCGCACACGATTAAACCCAAGCTACCATTAGAATTCATTCGAAAAACCGCTTCTCCCATGAACGGTGACGGGCGTTAGATCCTATCAACCGTTTAATACGTTGATGCCAGCATGCATCACCGATGGGTCACACGAGCCTGTCCCGCGAGACGGCGTGCATCGCCGGTGGATTACACTTGCATTTCACAAAATAGGTAGTACAAAATAGGTTTATGTTATTTTATCTCAACATTATAAACAGGCATTCAATAGTAAAAACATAACAATTCAATATTATAAACAACATAATTATTTCCTTTTTTTATGCAATTTTTTAAAGCATGTTAGACAGAGTGCCAACTTGCCTTTACAACGATCACAATATGTTGTTACTTTTTTGGTTTTATTCGCGGCATACTCTCTACCGTTTACTCTAGAAATGCGTTTATAACATTGTTTACACCGCTGTCTCGTTTTACTCGTGGACCCTTGGTACGACTGCAGAAAATGTGAATGTTTTTTGGACAGTACTTTATTTTCACTTGGCATTTCTTTTCTGTGGGGATTCACTAAACTTAAAAGGTGATCAATAATTTTTTCCCCTGAACAATAACACACCTGTGATTTTTGAAAATAGCTAGCATATATACTAGTCTTTTATCAGTCCATTTTAAAAATTTAACCTAACCTAACACTATTTTCATCGTGCATATTCCTTACGCGCGCCGTCGTTCTCCGACGAACATGCATGTCTATTTTTTTTCCTGTACGGAATTGAAAAATTTTTTGATTCGCACTATGTACGTTTCTTATAGAAAAATGTTCACAGAATTGCGTGTGATGGTTAGAATTCGCATCAGAGCTCTAATTTTTGAGAAAAATCGAAAAGAGTATTCCAAGATTAGGGTCAAAGTTGGTCCCGTCAGCTATACTCAACATTTACAGATATATGCAAATTGATATTGCCAAACTATTATATATCAATGTATTAGTTGAAGTCCACGGAATTCATTGAATCCAACAGGAACCGTATAGCTTTTGTAATTTTGCTATAAATTGAGGTCAAAGTTGAAAAATTGCGATCGTGTTGAACAGTCTAATCTGACACTGCACCGCGCCACGAAGCAGACCGTGCATTCGGGCGCCGCCTCACAGAGAAAACCCTGAATATCGGTCACGGCGTCAACGTGTTAAATTGCCTCATAAAAGATACGAAGAAAGAATGAACTATACGAAAAATTGTACGAGAAAAGATTGGAAAAATTCAATGGTTGAAGAGAAACGTGCGAAGAGAAAAGCACACCACAATTTATTTGCAATACGTCTTCCGTATCACTTACAAAGTTTACATAGCAATTGGTAAGACTACGCTCGACGTTGAAAGTCGGCCGATTCGAAATTTACTGGCTTACGCTATTTCTACCAACGTCGACAATCTATTTCGCCTTACGGTTATCTTTTTCACATACGCTACCTTGTTCAAGCTCGCGTTACAGCTACACGCGTTACCCGATCGAACGACGCTCTTGAATATAAAATAACGATAACCTTGCGAGTACAAGTAAAGCGAGTAAGCTACGCGATTGCAACGGCGTGCAACTTTCCATCGTTCGACAATGATATTTACGGCGGACAGACGCGAACAGGAGGAGCGCCCTTCAAGGACAGTCTGAGAGGCAATTACACGCAGTCTCGGATCGCTTGATCGGTCGGGCCGGGGCTGAGGCATCTGGCCGTAGAGTCGCATTCGTAATTTCTCTCTATTACCGGGATACGCTTGGGTCTGCGTTCTCTTGACTTTGACACCGACTGTGTTTCGCGAATGGAGCACGAGGACATCGTGTCGGCCGACGAAGCCATTCGAGCGGAAACCAGGAAACCAGTCGCGAGGACACGCTACTTTTTGTGAGCACGTGCGCGCCGTCTATATGGGGCCAGCGACGAGGAAAGCCTTTCCCACTCTGCGTTTTTTTAAACTTTGATCGCGCTTTCAACTATCGATTCGAACACAGAAAAAGTTTCTTCTTGCTTACGATTGACAATCGTAGTGATGTGAGTCAATCTACCGCTATTTTTCAGAAAATGATCTATCTGCGCGTACTTTGACTTTATTATAATACAAATCTCGTTGTATCTTTTCATATCGCAGAAATGTAACACGGCGGAGAACAAAGTTAGAAGTTAATTAAATACGAAATGAAATGGACGATTTAAAAACTGAAATACCACGACCGAATCGAAATATAATCGAAGAGCTATCTACGTATCTCGTAATAGGTGAGGATTTCAGGAAAAAAAACTCGGCAAAGGAACTCTCGTTTCGCTAATAATTTCAATTTTCATTGCTATTTAATTCGTCACTTCTTTAACCACTAAAGAATATCAAGGCAATAAATACTAATAGACTGCTATCAATCACAACCGATCTTCGATATTTCCATATAGTACATGGCACCTGTCATCATCATTAGGATTTCGAACGTCCTTCGTTCCAGCGCTACCAGCAGCGATCGCGACAGCTCCGTCCCTGGGGCGAAACGCGTTTCTACGAGCGGAGATTTCATGGTTCTATAGAGACGGTGGGTCAAACGTTTAGAGAATGCTTCTAACGACGCGTCTTTACGCAAGCGGTTGCGTCACACCTCCAAGTCGAAGGTAACAACGGGTCCGCGGTAGAGAGGAACCAAAATGGCGGGTTCTGTTCGCGGTTGAGCAACCTTCAAACAGAATCGGCCCGTGTACGTGAGATCCTCCGACCAAATCCCTCGAACAGGTCCGGGGCCGTGCTATAAATACCTGCGCGAGCTTCGTGACCGGCGTACCGATCTTTTTCTTCCAGTCGCGTCTTCCCTCCTCCAAGGAATTCTCTGTCCTTCTCTTTCCCTCTTTCTACTCTTCCGTCTGGACAGAGAAGAAGAAAGGGAGGCCACGAGAGAGCGAGAAGAAGAAACAAGAACCGGTACTTCGAGTCTGCTTCGGCAGGAACGAGCAGCTCCCTGCCGAGAGACTAGCGATGCCCATTCGATTGTCCGCGTTGTGAGTTTTCGAGCAATTTAGCTGTACCGAGGATTCAGTCGCCTCGAATCCTTATCGAAAGTCGAAGATCGAAGGAAGAGAGGGAGGGAGAGAGAGAGAGAGGAAGAGAGAGAGTGGAGAGAGGGAGGGAGGGAGAGAGAGAGAGAGAGAGAGAGAGAGAGAGAGAGAGAGAGAGAGAAAGAGAGAGAATGAGGGGGGAGGCCTGACCGGTTAGGAGTCTTGAAAGACCGAACGGTCTCTCGGTGAACGAGAAAGATCTGATAGCTGTTCAAGCCTTGACCGTACGCAACACCCTCGTAACGTTCGTTCTATATTAAACTAACGTTCTCTATATGTCTCTCTACCATGTAAGTATGATAAAGTCGCACGAATCTATGCAAGCATCTAATTTTAAACGATCGAAATCTAACGCGAAACCCCCGTCGTGCTCGTTCTATCACAGAGTGATTATTTCGTCGTGTAGTTTGTACAAGGTAGCGTTGTGGTACGTGTCAAATAATACATTAGTAAACGATGTAACAGGTTACAACATTGAAACGAGCACTTCTCGAGTTTTATCACAGACAGAAAAGATCCTTTGGATTTTATAGATTCTATCATTCCCGTGAGAAATAAATCACATTTATAATCGCGAAGATCAAAACCGACCTAATCACCATTGATTCGTCTTTCTTCCCTTTTAATCTCTCAATTATAGGAAACTTCTGGGCTAAATCTCACGAAAGTACTGGATTACGACCGATGTCGCTACTGTCATCAGAGATGGCTGTGTCACGAAAAAGACGAAGCGACAGTTAACGAGGAGCAAGTGTATCGTAGAAAAGTTGAAATCAACGTTAGGAGATCGTGTGACATTGAGTATGCGTCATTCTAAACGGCATCGCGCGCGGACCCGCGCGGTTTACGATATCGTCGCTTAATCTCCTACTATAAATTCCGATTTCCGTCCCGCTGGTGATTTTGTCGCGTAGTTGACGGGATTTCCTCGTTACAGAAGCCAGAAGATACAACAGAGATACTATGATAATAATGCTTTAGCTTGAGCCAGCGCACCGCATAGACAGTTCCATTTTAAATGAGGCTCCGCGAACTCGATCGCTATAAAGATATGGTCCAAGGCGAGCAAGAACGTTCGACCGAGCCTCACGGTGCTCAACGTTAAAAAGTAACGGGTTGAAGAGTCTCCGATGACGAATGCAATGACGTCGCGTTTGCTTTTTTCCTCCGGTCGTTTATCTATCACCTTTTAATGACTCGCATTTTAGTTCTTCGGTTCGCGCTGTCGTAGCGAAAAATACGTCTTGAGCGTTAGTAGTTGCATCGTCTCTTTAAACCGTAGCCTATGTTCGAAATACGACGAAACAGGATTGTGTAGTTTTCTCTTAAAAAACGATGTAAGCGTAAAGCTATTTCATCTTTTTCCGATTGAAAGGCTTGGGGCAATGAAGAGATGGCTCCAACGTTTCAATAACATTTATCGTAGACG